AAATTAGACATGTGTTTTAACTAATAAAGATATACTCATAGATTCTCAATTTTCTTGCTTGAGATATTTAAAATAAGTTATTGTTCATATACATTACTTCAAAGGGATTACTTTTTTTATCCCATATTTTCTTCACCATCGTTTAATTTCTTGTATTTTTTATAAAGTATTCTCAAGCACCTATGACTTTTCTTCCTCTCTCTCCTAAGTCCACCTCCTACCTATATTATCCAGACTTAAATGCTCCTTTGCCTTTATATTATTTAACCATACACTTTGAATACACTTACATCACAGACACAACGTCTAACAAAGAGGTGGGAAGGAGAAGGAAAAGTGTGAGAACTTTATATACCAACAAGAGAAGTCACATGAAAATCAGTAATCAGAGGTTGAAAGAGATGACCAATACTAAGGTTTGAAAAGGTATTTGCAAAAAAAAATTTACAAAAGAATAAATAGGGGTGCAAATAGAAGAAAAAGTTGCAAAAAACAACACTCTTGTGAAAATTTGGATTGAAAGTCTCTTACTTATATAATATAATATTTAATTTATAGTTAGATTACCAATGTAAAATTTAATATTTAAATACTTCTCTGTCTAACTAATTTTGAACTAACTGTGACTTGCCTTTTTTTTTTTTTTTAATTTTGATCTTGTAACTTCAAAATTTGAGCTTCTAACTTTGGTTTTTTTTTATTGCTTGCTTTTATACTTCATTTATTTATTTTTTTAGTGCTAGAAGTCTAACTTTTTTTTACCTTATGTCTTTTAATTTAGGATCTTCAGTTTTTTTAGGATCTAAGTTAAGATTTTAAAATATAAGTCTGATTTAATGATGAAGGAGAGTTATTGGATATTTCTCAAATAAAGAACTGGTTGAAATGATCCAATATTGTGCTCAAAGTAAAAAATTGAAGCATACAGGATCATATAAATTTAAATTTGAGTGGCCTCCTGATAACTTCAATGCAGCAAAATCAAAAGCAAATTGAACATTTCATGCATAGATGCACTGCCCAAACTAGAATCTGACATTTATTCTCCAAGATCATTAACCCAACCATTATTTCATTGAAACACAATGATAAGGATTCGATGCTAAGTATGAGTCAGTGAGAATGAGGTCTGAAAAGACAATGTGCGCGCAGGACAACATGCAGATGTCAACATGTGATTATGAGAATGTGTTGCATAGTACAATGAGCAAAATACTGTTTGTGGGATGTGAGATAAAGCATTAGTCTCAACAGAATGGAAAGAAAACCACATAAAGCCACTCTCAACACTACAATGCCATATTTCTACAAACGATTTGATGAGGAGATGACATAAATACAATAATAGGAAACTTCAAGCAATTAATATACACCACTAACATGCATTTAATAAAAAATTGACATCTGCTCATATTTTTAAACAAGGAAAAGAGTTAATAAAAGTGACCATACAATAATTTCTGGTCTCAAACATTATACCTTACTCTTGATACTCATGTTAGAACAAACAAATACAGGAAGATTATTGTGCACCATAGCTTCCCAATCTCAATGATTGGATTTTGAATATAATATGAATACTGTAATATATATATATATATATATATATATATATATATATATATATATATATATTATTTATGGGGATTCAGTTGCAAATGATTTCTTACATGGATTCAAATGCAAACTGACTACACGAACAAAAAATAATGGAACCTCTTGTAATAAGTTTGCTACTTTGTTGACGTTAGGGGTGTTTATGGATTGGTTTTTTCAAAAAACCAATCTAAATCCATTTATAATCCAATTATATAGATTGGATTATAAACCAATCTATTTTAATTTTTCTAAAATCGGTTTAACTTTAGTTTTAAAATTTGGATTTGGTTTAAAACCGGTTTTAAACCATTTTTACATATATTAAAAATATACTATAATTTTTTTATATTATTATTATATTAAAACATATTTAAATTTTATAATAAATAAAATAACATTATGTTTGTATATATATATATATATATATATTTGTTAAGCATCAACATTTATTAAAAATAAAATATAAATACAATAGGTACTTTAATTTATTACATCTCTAAAAAGAATTAACAATACATGTCAAAAAAATATTCACGTATATTTTAATTTATTAATAATATTTTTAATATTTTATTAAAGTAATAAATATTTAGATATATTCTAGTTTTTATCATCTATTCATTATACAAATTAATTATATGAATTAAATTTTAAACTATTTTATTTTATTTTATTTTTTTAATTAGTTCAAAAATAATTTTAAAATTTAAATTTAATTTAAAATTAATTTTAAAGTTAATTTTTATTGAAATTAGTTTTAAATTTAATTTTTAACGTAAAACTGATTTTTAATACATTTATAAATTTTATTTTTAAGATAAAACTAATTTGTTATATAAAACATTGTATTAAATCAGTGCATTTCAAAAAGATTTGAACAATATTTATCAATATATTATATTTTATAGAAGTGTATAAAATATTTATTATTATTTTTAATTTATTTTTAATAAATAAAGTTTATAGTGAAAGTTTAAATTAAAACCTATAAAAATAAAAATTAATAATATAAATAATAATAAAATTATTATAATATTTTAAAAATTAAAAAGTAAACATAAATATAAAAAAACTAGTATTTAAAAATATTTTTTATATTTTAATATCTTTAATTATTTTAAATATTTTAATTTTAATTATAAGAATTAATAAAAAAATATTAGTGGTAAAATATAGTTATAATAAAATTTTGTAAACTAATATAACACAAAAATTTAATAAATAAATATATAACATAATAGTTTTATACATATACATATGGATTTGGATAACTAAAAAAAAATCCAGTTTTAGAAAATGGATTTGGATACTAAACCAGTTATATAAATACAGTTAATAAAAAAACCGGTTTAATATGAATCTAAATTTTTAAAACCAGTTTAATATTAATTATAGATTGGATTTGTAAAATCGGATTTTTTGAACACTCCTAGTTGACGTAAAAGAAAAAGATAAAATATATTTTATTCCCTTATAGTTTTATGTTTTTTTAATTTATTTCCTATACTTTTATTTATCAATAAACCCTCTATGAGGAGTCAAATGATAAAAAAGGGTAACACAATAAAGAGGTTCGATTACACAAATATAGATACAGGGTCAGTGAAATAAAAAAAAAAAAATTAAATATATTTTTAGTCTCTATTTTAGTGACTTTTAGTTTTGGTCATTCCACATTATTTTTCTTGATTTTAGTCTTATATTTTAGCAAATTATTATTTTAAATCATTCTAATTGATGTGGTCTAGCTCAAAACTGACATTTAATAACATTTTAGTGCATCAAATTAAATAAGGATTAAAAATAAAAATTCGTAAAAAAATTAGATGGACTAAACAAAAAATTTACTAAAATACGAGGATTGAAAACAGCTTAAAAAAAATTAAAAGTAAATTAAGAAAACGTGAAACTATGTATTATAAAGTATAATTTAAAGTTTGGTACTTCGTTGTCTTTGTGCATTGTAAAAGGCACACTGCAATGTTAGCCGAAAACAAATTGAACGATGCGTAGAACTTCATAATTAGTCCATGGCAGGACTCGAGGCTCTATTGCCCATAAAACTAAACATTTCAATGAATTGATAAGTGACAGTGAAATGAGTGCGATGCCTCTGTACAATTGTTCTCTAGTAATGTCAGCACCATGTGACTTCAGGTTACCCTTTACCCACTTGTGGACCACACACACTATGCAATACAAGACAACATAGTACTCTATTTAATACACTACAGTTTAATTTAATAATTGACCAACATTGAACTAAGATAAAAATGGCCATGTCCCACAAGTGTTCCTCAATCTTCATAGACATAGCTCAAACGCCTACACGAGTGTCCAATATTCCACATAGCCATACCAATTTTTATTCGTTACATTCCCATTTTAACAATGCATAGGAAAGTACTCCGGAACTTTCTTGAGCAATTATTGAGAAAAATATACTATTTGTTTAGTACATTTATAATTTCTTATTCTTTCAATGAGTTCACTAAATCATCTGTATAATGTTTCCTTTGTTAAATTTATGGCCATTGATTTTAAATTCTTATTCCGAGTTTAATAACTTGATATTCTGCCATCTAAAACCAGTCGTTAAATTTTGCACATGATTAGCTACCAATTTTTCAAGTAACAATGATGAAATCAATTTTCGTTCAAGAGGCACAGGTATCCCACCCTTAAAAGAAAACCATAGTACAAAGAGAAACACTAGAATAGCAGCATATATTTTCATGTCGGATTTCAATTCGGGTCTTTTTGCATATCAGTGTTGTACTATGATTTTGTTGTGATTACCCTGCCAGGCAACTGCTAGTTTACTGGAACATGTACAAAATTGGAAGTGGATGATAGATATAAGAGTTGTATTAATTACAGAAATGAGGTAAAAACCACGGTGCTTAGTTCTGCTTCACTCTAAATGAAAATGAAAAGAGAAAAGAAAAATACTTGTAACATGTCTATCCAAGTATGCAATATATGTGTCGCTTGTTGTTAGTAGTATGATGACCTCATTTTAATCTTCTCAAGGATCAAGTCTTTTAATCTAGGTGTATTCGGATATGCCTCTTCTAGAATGTTGGTCCTTCTGTATGCTATTATAAATCTGCATAAAAACATACCAGCAACACAAAAGAAAATTACTTGTTAAGAAAGAGGGATTAATTTACTAGACCATAAGTAAGTTTTGAAATGATTTATAAAATTTCAAAAAAATGGAAAGGAGCAATAATATCTTACCATAATAAAAACGTCCCCGATCAACGCTTCTATTTTTATTACCTACAATTCAAAATGTAGACATGCAGAATGGAGCCTGAAAAACACTTCAATTGTCACCACAACATTAGTATGGCAGGAAAGTGCAGCATACAAATGGCAATCGGTGGAACCTTTGATATCAAAGAAAACTAATGAGAAGCCATGTCACTAGAAGTGGTCTGAGATTCTAACTTGGCAGGAGATCCCAGGCTTGTTGAGAGATTGGGCAGATTATCTCTGGCAGCTTCTGTCAGTGAAGCAAAGAGGCTATCAGGAAGGGCCTGCTCCACACTTCACAACCAAGAAAAGCACAAAAAAATATAAGCTTGGAATGCATCTCAAAACAATACAAGAAAACTTGGAATTCATTAAAATGAGGACCAACCACAGAAAACCTGCACCAACAATGCGACAGGGATAAGATCTGAAAGAGTGTCAAGCTCCGTACCTCTTACAAAGATCTGTGATTTCTGACCCTGTACTATCCTTTTTATTCCCGCTGACAGTATTATGAATGCATGTTGGATCAACTTCTTGCAATGGCTGCTGCTGCTCAAGTGAAGAACTGGTTGAAATGATGTTGCCACTGAAGCCTGTGACAAAATGTATATCAGTAAGTGTTTACTGCTTTTCTGGAACTTATTGTGCGGCTACAATCAATTGACTAACCAGTAAAATTTCTTTTAATGCTATCAGGAGAAAGACCTGGATTGCTAATATGACCATGAATTTGTAGTAAGGGCAGAGAAGCTCCAACGGAGAGACTGCGTTGGTGCTGGTGAATTTGATTATTCTTTAAGTCAGGAAGCTGAAAATTCATCATCCTTCTTTCTTGAAGTTCAATGGCTTTTAGCAACTCAGCCTGTTCCTTCAATTTTCTTCTCAACAGAATCTCGTGTGGATTATACAACATTCTTGTTCCTGAAGAGAAAAAAGATTTAATAGAGCTAAAACCAGAATCACAGGACCCTGAAAGTACCTGCATGTACATGAACCTTCGGGGAAGTGTAGGGGCTTCACAGGGAAATGCAAATGCATAGCAACTTCTTTTAAGTATGATCCATCTCCAGCTCATGTATGTAGAATTAAAATATCAAGATAAAAGGAAAAAAATATCAAGACAAGAAAATTGATTACCAAGATGGAAATCATGAGGTTCTTGTGAGTCAAGTCCAGCAGGGCTCAAACACGGCAAAAATTCTCCCCTCTCTAGTTGCTGTTGTCTCCTGCATTTATCATGTCACAGCAATATAATTGTAGGAATATGAAGAGATATAAAGTAGGTAAAGAGATGATCTTGATTCTTGCCCACATACTTGTCAACTGCTTTCCCCTTCTCCTTGTAGGGCTTGACAAGTACACGTGAATCACAGATAAAATGAGGATTCCCTTTGGATAATATGAATCTCACTGTTTCTGGATGGACAAAAGTAACAAAGCCAAACATTCGCTTATTCTGGTATGGAATCCTCACATCTTGCACGGGTCCAAATTTGCTTCAAAAACAAAGTAGCTACTTTGATGAAATTCCTCGATTTGGACTAAATCGTATGTATGTAGGAATGATAGTATGAATGAATGAACGAAAATGGAAAGACACAATAAATACTTGGAAACACTGAGACAAATGTTTTTGCACGTAAATATTAAGCTATAGAACAAAAGAGGTCAGTTAGAAATCATGATTCTATTCCCAATAATAACTCAGAAATTAGTTAACATACAAAAATGCTTTCGTTATATGCAGTAAGGCCCAGAACATCAGAGAACGTTCAACTAATAGAAAAATACATCACCATCTTTAAACTGCAACCTGCCCGGGACACAATTACTATGAGCTCAACCCTGGAAGTCAATGGAGGAATACATCCATCCTTCTTTACCACATACAAATAAGTTAGATGTGTTCTGTAACCTCTAAACGTTAAGAATATTAGTTCTCAGGCGCTTCTAACCGTTATCACACCAAAGAATCAAAAAAGCAAAAACCTTGAGTGTTGTGCTCACTGAAAACAGTAGAAATTAACCACATTTTTTCCACCTTTTTATTTTTTACATGGAATCTGGAATAATTAATGGCAATTTGGGAACAGACTTCAACAGTATCTATGGGAAAATCTGGTTACAATAATGCAATTTAATTTCAAATGTTTCACCAACACTGTACTGTTTGTTGATGTACCATGTCATCAAACCACAGTCATTTAGATAATAAGGTCCTAGTCATTAATGCAATTAAATGGGTATTACTGCATGTTTTACCTGAAGTATTCTGAAACATCTTCATCTTTAAATGTGCTTTCCGCAGGAAACGTTAAATAAATCTGCCTAGAAGAAGAGTTAAATTTTTCAGTCGAAACCATGGCCAGAAATTCGTTCCTTTGCAGCCTGCACCGTATAAACTTGTGAAATTCGTCTCCCAAGTAGCCAACCATACACACAATATCACTCTATGACTGAAAAAAGATTTTTTATTTTTTTTTTGCTTTTTTATAAAGAAAACAGTAACTACTAAATGGTATCTTTTTTTAAAAAAAAAATAACGAAAAAGAAGAAAACTTTAGTTTGTATTTTATAGATGAACCTCTGCAAATCCTTTTGTTGCTGCATGAAAAAGTTAATGTATGGCGGTGAGGTTCCAGACATGACTTGTGAAGGAGCCACTAATCTTTGATGCTGCGCGGCCTTCAAACTGACAACATCATGTTCCAAACCCTCATCAAACTTACTGGGAAAACCAACCATGGCATCCATTGTATCATCATTCAAAGCACTATGCATGAACTTGCAATTGCTCCCATTTTTGCAAAATCCTTTGGCAAAGTAGAGGCATGACTTATATCGTGCTTCTTCATGTCCAAAATATGCAGCACTTGCAGAATGGCTCCTTCTATGGTAATTGACATCACCATTGTTGACAAGTGAATGCCAGTTGTGACTCAATTCAGGCCTTGAATCCACCAAATCCCCATCCATCATCAGTGTCTCATTGAGAAAAGAAAAGTAATCACCCATTTGATGATCATCCATCACAGGAGGTGAAAGAGAAGATTTTGACACAGACCCAGCTTGGATACTATCGTGAGAGAGTAAAGGAGTGGACTTTAAGCTAATGGGGTTGTTTAGGGAAGAAGGGTTGGTAGAAATGGGGGGTTTTGGAATGTAGTTGAGAAGAGAAGGTGCAGAAGAGAGGTTAAGGTGGTATTTGAGCCTTAGAACGAGGGTGTGAAGAACAGAGTCAGGGCTAGTGGCGAGGCTTATTAATTCTGTGTCTTGAAAGTTGACGAGGATATGGCCCATGATCTTGGAAGCATTTTGGGGGTCAAGGTTGTTGATTTTGGAGAGGACCACGTGTGTGGCTTCGTAGGTATCCATGGAAATGAAATCTTATAATGCTGGGTTTGTGTTCTTCTCGTAAATAGAATGAATGATAGCAGTGGGGTTAAGGTTTCTCTCTCTCTCTCTCTCTCTCTCTCTCTCTCAGGAGAATGTGTAACAACTAACAACACTGCTGTTTGTGTTATGCGTGTTTATTACCTTTTTCTACCACTTGCCGTTCTCATTCTTGGCTTGTGTATTATTCAGATCCGGTTTGAGTTTAAGATTATCGTCAACACTCAACACTGTTGCATAACACTGCAGGTTACTGTTGCTTCTGCCACTTTAAAAAAAACAAAACAAAATAAATACGTTATTTTAACTTGATTCTTCTATGAAAATGTGGATAGGGATTATAAATATCTTGTATATTAAAGTCTTTCTAGTGAAATCGAAGTATTAGTTAGATTCTGTTAGAATCTTTTTTTTTTTTTTGTTAATTCTAGTAAATTTGTTAGGGTAATATATATCTATTAAGGCATTATGTATTCATCTTTGTTAGGGTTGTCAAATTGAATTTATTAGATGGATTAGCCTGTATAGCCTACCAAAAATAATGAATTGAGTTGAATGTTTTAAATTTAATGGCCCACTTAGCTGGTCCTATTTTAGCTTGTCAAAATATAGACCAATGACAGGTCAGACTCTTCGTTGGGTTAATTTTTTATTTTTAAAAAATTATTTATTTATTATTTATTATAATTTTTTTGTTAATTTTTAATGGACTGACGCATTAATTTAATGGTCAATCAACTATATTTTATTTTTATTTTTTAATTTTTGGCTAATTGGCCGTTAGTCTGCCAACTCACTCTTAAATGAGTTGATATAGAAAATTTAGCTCATTTTTTAAACCAAGCAGACTTAGGTTACCTATTTATGGATGGACTTGAGTTACCCATTTTGGATGGGCTTTTGATGGGTTAGGAGAGTTAGTTTGTTTTGCCATCCTTAATCTCTTGGTAAAAACATTTAAATTCATTCAATAGAAAAATGTATTACTTATTTCTCTTCATTCTCTTTGTCCTTCTTTTGTTCTTAACCCTCATATGGTATCACGAGCTTGATCCAATTTCAAGCATTGCTTCTGCATCTCAATCTTTTTTCTCCCAACCTTTCACAAACCCAATTTTGTAAAAATTCAGTAAAGATAACTTCCTTACATGGCATTAAAAGTCATCTCCACTATTAAAGGGTTTCGGTTGAAGAATCACATCGATGGTGTTGACAAGATTCATCAAATACAAGGATGAAGCATCCAAACTTGCTAATACACTGACTATAGATCACATCGATGGTACTGCTGAGATTCCTATCAATTTTAAGGATGAAGCATCCAAACTTGCTCATACACCAACCATAGAGTTCAAAATTTTTGAATAACAAGATAATCTCTTGAAGTCTTGGCTTCTTGAGTCAATGGAACCTAGTTCAAAGTCAGGGTGGTTGGATTTGACTGATGTTATCAAGTTTTGAACTCAGTGAGGACTTACTTTGCATCTCATATAAAGGCTAGGGTTAAGCAGCTGAAGATTAAGCTAAGAGAATAAGAAAATCTACAGCTATAAATCTGTATTTGCTTGAAATCAAGAAGGTAATTGATACCTTAGGAGCAATTAGATCGCCATTGACTCCAAAAGAACATATCGAAGGAATCTTTGATGGATTGTCTGAAAAATATGATACTTTTATGACATAAGTGCTCTCCAGATCTAAACTATATTCGGTCTTACAAATTGAAGCCTTACTAATGGCTTAAGAAGAAAGACTCGAAAGGCATAAAAAGAATGATGTTGACTTTATGCAAGCCAACTTTGCTTAACAAAGAAATCCTAACACCACTTAAGGAAGAAATGTCCAAGGTCGTGGCCAGGCACAAGGTAGAGGTTGTGGCCAAGGAAAAGTAACATTCAATCCTGGAAGAAGCAAGATTGTTTGTCAGGTTTATGGCAAAACTCAACACCTAGCCTACCATTATTGGCACAAGTTTGATCAACAATTTTCAAAACTAAATCTTAGCTCTCAACCCTCTACAAATTCTTAACAAGGTAATAACAGTCAAGGTATGCATGCCATGATAGCAACTTTGACCCAAAACTACACCTATGATGACTCTTGGTACCTTTACTTAGAGACTACCAATCATTTAATTTGTGATCTTAACAATCTAATAATTAAATGTGAATACACTGGATAGGAAAAAGTTCATATGGATAATAGCAGTGCTATAGGTATAACTCATATAGATGACTCTACATTTCTTGTTAATATTTGTTTCCTTACATTAAAAAAACCTTTTGCATGTGTCAAACATTTCTAAATACTTAATTAGTGTGTCTAAATTTGCTCAAGATAATGTTGTGTTTTTTGAATTTCACCCAGGTATTTGTCTTGTGAAATCATAACCAAGAGTATATTGCTTTGAGTGACTCTTAAAGGAGAACTGTATGTGTTTGACAATCTATAACAATTAGTTCCTTGAGTTATACTTGTACCAATTCACATGCTAATAGAAACGTTAGGAATTTTTCTTTGAATTTTGTTGTTAAAACTAATTCACATGCTTCTTCTCGATTAGTTTATTGTCAAAGGTTACGCTATTTTAATTTCTTTTTAATGGTTTTTAAATTTAAATTCTTGTTTTATTTAATTTTGTATTCTCTAAGTTCAAACAATTAAATTAAGATATTTTTAGTAATTATAAACAATTCTTATAAGACTATATTTTGATAACTTATTTTAGAATCATTTATTACTTTTTGATGGGTACACTTGTCCATAAACATGTACTTGTTTCAAACATAAATAAAACTCAATTTGTTTGATCTTTATGCTATATGGAAAAATCCCACATTTTACCTTTCTATGATTCGAATGCTACTTTTAGTGCTCCTCTTCAATTAGTATATTTATATGTATGGGGACCTTTACCATATCCATCCAGAGAAGGATGGTTCTATATTCATTTTATAGATGCATATTCAAGATTCACATGGATTTATTTTATACATAAAAAATTTGAGACATTCACCAATTTTAAGAAATTCAAAGTAATAACTATATTGCAATTTATATGTCAGCTAAAAGTAATTCAAATAGATAGTAGAAAAGAATTTTTTGTTTTTACTAAATATCCTTCTAACAATCTCTTGCTTAAATTACTCATACTTTCCTTGTTCTACCACCTTCCTCTCAGGTAGTAACTCACTTGGCTAGAATTTCCTTTGACATGGTTCTGAACTTAAGTATCCCTTTTTAAGGTTAGGGTTTGTGTTTTTGTTGGTAATGGTTGTTGTTGGTCATCTATAAGTTCTTCATGTTGTTGTGAACCTTGGCCAACATCAAGTCTTTGCTTCTTTCTTCGAGGAATAGACTACTTAGGTGTCATCCTAAACAAAAAAAAAACAATTTTAGAATAAACAAATGTGAGGAATAAACTTCTTAAGCACATGGAGTTTGCTTCAGCATGACAAATTTGCTTAATCAAATATCTCATGCTTCATCTCCCCTATGTAAAAAATCTGCTTAAGCGAGCTCATTATACTTAAGCAAATTTAACAATGTAGAGAACCAACATACACCATGCACATATAATCCAAATAAGTTTTTTTTTTATTAGTTCAATGGAAGCATGTATGAGATTAAAATACATCAAAGCCATATAATCCAAAATGATAATAAGGAAAAACATGTCCTAAAACCATATTTACATTGAAAAACAACACCAAAGAATAGTGCAAGAAGATTGAAGAAAAAGTACCTAACATTGCAATGTGGTTTTGTCCTTAAGAAATATTCTAGGTTTAAGGTTAAGATTAGGGAGAAAGGACGAAGTTTTCAGACAAGAGGAGCGAAAGTGGGAATAACAAAGGGTTGTAATTGTTCTTATTCCTTAGTTTCACTTTTAAAAATTCTAAACATTGCAATTTTTGCTTAAGCATCATTTTATACTAGCTTAAGCAAAAAAAAAATAAAAAATTAAGCAAAAATCTACCATAAGCAAATTTCTCGCGCTTAAGCAAATATGTTTATTTTTTGGCACAAAACATAAGTGTAGTGATGTATTGAGGAAGAAATAAGGATTTCTTTAGCTTTCCTTCTATGAAACACTAAACTAATTTATCTTGTGGGAAGATTTGGTAAAGAAAGGACCTATTTGATGCTAACTCCTTGAAATGTCTTAAGCAAGTTTGTTCCAACCAATGTCTTCAAACACAAAGTTAAATGGATTTAAAAATATTAATGTCAATGTAAAAGTGAACATTTATTTGACATTTTGTTTGGATTTAAAAATATGTCTTCAAGGAATCAATTCTTATAATGTTTCTTCGCATTTTGTTGGAGTAAAGACGAAATGATGAGTATGGATGTTGCGTGGAAGCCAAAAATTGGGTTACAATTCAAAAGTCTTCAAGAAGCATGACAATTTTGGTTTGAATATGGAAGGCTAGCTGGATTTGGTGTGAGAAAATAATATTTTAACAGGCAAAAGGTAAATGGTATGATTACTGCTTGTATATATGTTTGTTGTAAAGAAAGACATTGAAAGGAAGATAAAAGAAATGCTCAAGTTATCAAGCACAAACCAAATACTAGGATTGAATGTCTTGCAAGAATAGCATTGTCATTGGAAAACAACAACAAATATGTTATACATGAGTTTCTTGAAGAGCATAACCACTTATTATAACTTCTAGAGACAACACACATGTTTGTTTCTCATCATAAGATAACGAAAGTTCAAGCTCATTAGATTGATTCAGCTAAGTGCTCAGGATTACAACAAAAATCATCATTTCAACTTATGAGCACATTTGCAGGACATTGAGCTAATGTTGAGTATAATCGCCTGGATGCAAAAAAATTATTTGAAGGCAAAAAAACAAAGAGGAATGATATACATAAAAGTTAGTTGTCTAATGCAATACTTTTAGCGATGGTTATTAGATAACCCAACATTTTTTCGTGCAAACAAATGGATGCTAAGGAACAAATCA